ATCGTTCATTTTTTTTAACAGTGATCGTGCTTCAAAGGTGATTTTATACAACATTACAGTCAAAGGCCAGAAAATGTGTGCAATTGTGATTGATAATGGCAAAGTACGATAATTGATTTAAATATTTGTCATAAACGATGTTGTTTTTGCTTGAAAATACGTTTACCGGAGAAAATTGAAAAACATTGAGAAAACATAGATGCACTGTGAAAACATGTATCGTACACCGTATGAAATACATGAAAAAATGTAATTTTTTTCTTCTCTCATTTTAAATCACTACAAATGTTTATTACAATACAAGTATACATATACATACATTGTAGAATGCAACCGAGCAAACGATTGAATGTGTGAGTGAGCGAGTGAGCGTTTTTTGTATTTTCCATGTATTTTGTTGTTGGGTTCGTTTCGTATGCTCATACAAACGAAATAAAAAAACTACCGAGCTTTCAAAATGTAAACAAATGATCTTAAAACGCACCAATGTATTTTGTTGTTGAATAAATTTTTGAGTGTTTGATAGAGAGAATTGAATGAGAAAACAATTGAATGTGTGAGTGAGCGAGTGAGTGAATGATGTACGACGTACGGACTTCGCTCTTAGGATGACGCACGCGCTCGCACTACTACCGCATGGGTGACGCAAGGACCCTTGCGTCAACCGAATGGTTGACGCAAGAGTTGGCCCAGAACCCGCCTTTTCCTACTACTGACATTCTTCGAAAATATTTTTTTTATTGATCACCTTTTCGGTGAAAATCCCTAGCAAATCAGAAGATTTTTCCACGTCGCAAAAACCCTAGCAAATTCAATACTTTTTCCACATTTTGAAAGTTGAAAAGCAAAACAAAGATCTTCACTTTTTCAGTGAAAATCCCTAGCAAATTCGAATAACTTTTCTTCTTCAAAAAGTGGACATCTTTCAAAAAAGAGGACATTTCATCTTTGGGGGGCAACTGCATATAGTCGCCATGGCACAATGTTTTTCATTATTTAATTCAGTATTTTCTTCGTCGATTGTTTTTCACTCGTATCGCTAAAAATATAAATGTTCAAACATCAAAACATTTTGCCAATTTTTTTTCAATTTTTTTTATTTGGTTAAATTTAATCGATCTTCATCATCTCCTTAAATGTATGAAAAACATATTATAACGGATAATTGAGTAGAACATCTTGTCTGGCCAATTCAAGCAACATAGGATCGTCGAAGAATTTATTAATGGACACATCTTCTGACAATCCTTTTCGTCGTCGTGTTTTAATCATAAATTCTCGTGCCAAATGTGTGGCTGCCTGTTTTTCAAGCGGTCGAATAATTATACTCTTATCCAATGGATCACCGGGCACAATCTGTAAAAGTTGAAACAAATTAAAGAATTGATGAAATTTCAAATTAAATTTCCCATATTCGCCGGTCTTACCTGCCAATGATGGAACACAGACGAACAGAATGCTTGTCCTTGAGTGTGTGTTCGAAGATCGGTTTCGAAACCGAATGAATCGATGGCGGGAATGAATGCTTTAATTGTGTACAATGGTGAACCGGAAATGGGTGCATCTTGTGTAACATGACCTCTGCGAAGTCCCAAAACAGTGTATACAGCTGGAACACAATCGGCTGGTGCTTGTATCTCTACGAACAAATATGGTTCCATCAGTCTGGGGGTGGCCATAAGGAAAGCCGAATAGGCAACACGACGAGCTGTTGGAATGACCTGACCGCCACCACGATGCAGTGGTTCATTTGCAATGACCGCATCCAAAATCTTAAATTTTACATTTCGAATTGGTTCTTCGCACAATGGACCCTCACGTGTTCCCCATTGAAAACCTTGTACAATCGAATCCTTAACGGCTCCCAATAGATTTTTATCAACTTCAGACGGTAATGTATCATCAACCAAAATATTTGGTCCAGCATTATCCGGACCAAATGCCCAAATGGAACGCGCCGCAAGCAAATCCCAATCATAATTAACTTGAAAAAATTCACCCAATCGTTTTTTATTCCAACCTATTGAGACAACTTCATTTTCAATGTCTTCAGCCAAACCCTTTTCCAGTGGCTCTGAAATCATTGTGATTTTATTCTTTTTATTTGGCGTTTCGGCAAAACATTTCAATGAACTGGTTTCGACGACCGTTTCACAGAATGCAACCACCGGATCGGCAACTTTGATATCAATTTCCGAATACATTTTACGCAAATCATGCATTACACAATCCAAATAAAGTTCACCCGTTCCGAGTATAACATGCTCACCAGACTCTTCAACACGTGTCGACAAAAGTGGATATGATTTATTGACTTTACGAAGACCGTCCAACATTTTTGGCAATTCAGATGGATTGACTGGTTCGACGGCTATTTTAATGATACTTTGTGTATTGAATTTTAGCGGCCGGAAAATGTACAGTTCTTCATTGTTTTGTGCTTCGGTGATGGTCGATGTTTTTACAATACATTGGTCGATACCTTCAATCAATACCCAATTTCCAACGGGCACACGATTCAATTCGATTTTGTAACGAGCTTCATAAATCCATAGACGGCCAACTTGCAATACTCGTGAATCTTCTTCATCTAATAACGAATAATTTTCACCCAAAACTCGAACCTCCTGACCGGCATAAAGTGTTCCACTCATAACACGTGCCAAAACCTAAAAATGAATGTATCCATTTGTTGATTAAACTTCATTTTAACAACGAAATATTGTATAGCATATAAAAACTTTGCTCACTTGAAAGAAAGTACAATCATCCGTTGGATACATTTTTGAGCTGTGAACCATTAACGCACCATTTTGATCACAGTTGACCATATTATCGTAAATGGTGCCGTATTTGGGTCCTGTATACATGTGATCGACTTTATTTCTAGCATTATCCAGCGGTGACTCTATGTGCTCCACACACATTTGAACAAATCCACTGAAATCGCCAAGGAATCGATTACAAATCAAACGTAGCAATGGCCGAATGTTGCATTTCATTTCTTCTTTTGTCACACGAATTTCCAATTCGGCCAATGTATCGGCCAATGATGAGTCCACGTCGCCCACAACTTGAGCTAGTAACTTGTACAATGGCTCGAGAATAAATTCAACAAAACTGCGTTGAGCCGAATTGTGCGGTGGTTTCTTGGTGAATTTACGCCTAAATTATTTATTCATTTATTAATTCTCTCAATCAATTGTCGCAGGAAAAAAATGCCGTCTCAAAAAAAAAAATAGCACACTCACGTTTTTGGTTGGAAGTACACATCGCCCCACAAGCGTTTAGCAAAATCAACATGATTCACAGATGGATAGGTGTCCGAATATAACTTTGCAAACGATTTCAATGTAAAGCAAATGCCATACAATGAACTTGCAAAGCAAACATTGCCCAAAACCGGTGACATGATCCTTGGATTCTCTTCCGTTGCATAGGCGCTATAAAATGTTTTTGTTGAGTTTTATGCCCCAATTGATTGGATAAAAAGTATCTTACCTTAGAATACTATTCACTTCTTCAATAATGTGTTTTAGCTTGAAGTATGCATCTTGTGGTGGTAGTTTCAATTCCAAAATCAAGCGATCAATCTGCAGATGATTTGTAAATTGTTAAAAGTTTTATGAATAAAAATCATTTATCATGTCATATGATAAAACAAACCTTATTGATGCAAAGTGTAATTGCTTGCTTTTCTTGAACGGCATGTTTCAATAAACGTTCGGTGTTAAGCATAACACCTTCGGCTGCATCAACAAATAGCACAATACCATCGGTGAGTCGCATCGAAGCGGTGACCTCATCGCTGAAATTCACATGGCCAGGCGTATCAAAAATGTTCATCAAATAACTTTTCTGCTTAATGTCCGGCAATACCAAAGTAACTGGTGTTGATTTGATGCTTACGCCACGTTCTTGTTCGGTGAACAATGTATCTGTATATCTCAATGCTCGTTCTTCGTTTGTTTCGAATTGTGGATGTGTTTGACGAATGAGACAATCGACAAATGTGGTTTTACCATGATGCAAATGTCCAACCAATGCAACATTTCGAATCAATGTTGGTGTATCCATCAAATCAGCCAAAAATCTAAAGAAAAATCATGACGTTAGTGAATTTTTTGTACAAACTATCGCATTAAACATACTCCATTTCATATGATGTGTCTGGTAGATTTTGCTCTTTAAGTTGGAATTTCATCCTTTTAACGGGCTCAATGAGCGGTTTATCCAATGGCTGTGCATCTTCCTCTTGAACAATTGTCTCAACATCCGGACCATATACTTCTAATGCCGTTGGATAATACTTTTTATCTTCGTGCAAAACAACGGCTCGCGACGCTTTTTCATCGTCAACAGTATTGTCCTCATCTTCGTCCATGGCATCATCCTACAAAATGTATAAAACACCAATTAAATACCGACTTTAGAAATGAAATTATTTTCTTCTTTATGACACTTACATCGATATCATCCGGCACCTCTTGACCGTAGATGCTCTGATCATCATCGTCATCACTTTCTAAATCTGGCCCAATGTAATTACCAAATTCATCATAGAGATCTGAATCCATGTTCAAGTTGCGTTTTAAATCGTTTTAAAGTTCCCAAAAATTCAATAAGTTTGTCGATGATTTGCTGTGAAAATCGAAAAAAGTAAAACGTTTACATGAGAATTTGTTTACACCATTCAACACCATAACCTCAAACAATCATTGAGTTAGGCACTCTAAATAGAACATTTGAAAAGTTTACATTTTTTTAAAAGACAAACATACATTTCACAAAACAAGGTCGTCACTATAATCGAATGATAAACCTCAATTTTAATTTGCAAGTTACACCAATAAATGATTTGCTGCCGGTTAAATTTGCGTTAAATAAGACAAGCGAAGCACTTTCCCATAGAAATGCTTCTCAATTTGACACATTAGACAAATTGATTAGCGACGTCTGGTGTCATTGACACTCAACCATTTTGATTGTCAGCAACGATGACTAAAGTCAAAGCTAGTCAGTAAACATTGAGACGAAAAAAAGGTGTATTTTTAATTTGTTTAATTCAATCAAAAGCGAAAAATAAACGAAAGAAAAAAAATATGAGACGAAAGACTGGCATTGGTGCTGTCCATAAGCAAAAGCTTGAAGCCGGAAAATTCAAAGACAAAGGCACCGAATTACAAGACTCACAATTTGAACAGATGACAAAACAAATGGAAATATTTCGCGAGAATTTAGAAGAATTTGCAACAAATCATCGTAGTGAAATTAAGAAAAATGCACAGTTTCGGCGACAATTTCAAGAAATGTGCGCTGCCATCGGTGTGGATCCATTGGCATCGGGCAAAGGTTTTTGGAGTGTATTGGGCATGGGTGATTTTTACTATGAACTTGGCGTTCAAGTGGTTGAAGTGTGCCTGGCATTGAATCATGTCACCGGAGGTCTAATGGAATTGGATGAATTGCGACGACGTCTTATTGCAGCCAGAGGTCAAAAAGCATCCCATCAAGAAATTACCACCGAAGATATTTTGATGGCGACCAAGAAATTGAAAATATTTGGAAATGGGTGAGCGATTCTAAGCAATGATGATTATTGTGTTTATATCGATTTTGGTTGAATAACTCATGATATTTTGTTCGATAGATTTGTCGTGTATCCAATTGGCCGAGGAAAGCATATGGTCCAATCGATTCCGGGTGAATTGAGTTTACAAGAAACAATGGTTTTAACAACAGCATCAAATCAGGGTCAAGGTTTTGTCACAATCAGCATGCTAATGAAGGAATTGGGGTAATGATACATTACATTTTCACTTTTAAATTTTGATTCTTTTTTACACCAAACATAACTAACGATGATTTTTGGTTATTTTAACAGATGGAATGAATTCCGTGCAAAACAAGCCATTGACAAAATATTGGGTGAAGGATTAGCCTGGATTGATGAACAAAGCGATGAAACGAGCTATTGGTTTCCAAGTTTATTTCCCAAACGTGATCAAGTCAATGCCAACTCTGAATGAACACAATAAATGTTATTGCCTTTTATTACACAACACATCTTGCAAATATGTACATAACTTTTTTTTTATAACATATTTCATAATGTTCATAAATCTATTCAAAAATTTAAGTATCAACTTTTATTTCGTTTGAACAATTCTTTGTTCAATTTTTGATTTTCAGTAATCAGCCGAGAGTTTTCACTTTGAAGATGTACCAATTCCCTTTTCATGCTTTCCGTCATTTCATGGTATGAATCTCTCCATCTGTGAAAAATGAATCATCAAAATCGTAATACATCGAATTCAGAAATAAAAAAATATCACACTTTTGCTTCAGCTTTATGTTGTTGTCCAAAAGAGTTCGTAACTGGTTTGAACGATCTTCGCATTCTCTGGAAGAAAAGAGTTTGCTAATTAAATTCAAAGCTAAATTGATTTTAGAAAATGTATTCGTATTCAATAAGACTTACTTTGAGGTCGCCTGTTCACATGCAATCAATTTTTCATATGCTTTTAGCTTCATTTCCAGTTCCACCTGAAACAAAAAAAGGGTCAATCAAATTTTCTTCGATGGGGATCGATATGCTGTGATTGATATTTCCTTACTATTGTTTTTGAAGCGGTTTCCAAGTCTACGTTGAGCCTTTTATTGTCACTCATAATGTCGCTAACACTGGTTTGCATTTCATGCAGTTGCTTCTTTGATAAATGATTATTTTTGGCTAATGTTTCTTTTGACACAATCAACTGTAAAACAAATAGTCAAGCAAAATTAAAACGAATTGCAATTTATAATGGAGATAATATACTTTTTTAATGATATCCTCAAACTTTTGTAATCGTTGCGCATAGTTGGACTTAATCTCGTCGATATTGACTTCAACTTTTTCACCAGCCTCTTCCATCACTCGGCCAATCGTCAGTGCTAATTGATCACATTCATCTTGTAAAGGAAGAAAATATCATGGAAAACGACAAAAAAAAGAGAATGAAACAAAATAAAAATGGAATTCATTTAAAAAAATACCAAAGTCATACCACGAATTTCCTTCTCTCGTTGCAGTGCCGCATGTTTCTCGGCCAATGCAGCTTCAACCATGTGAAGTGCATCTTGAATTTTTGTATGAGCAACTGTTTCTCGCACTTGATATTGTTTATGCAATTCACTTAAGGATTTCATTTGTTTTTTGTACTCATCACGCTCTTTTCGTATTTCGACCATTTCAAAGCGATTTTCACGCAGAACATTTTCCATGTTTTTTAATTGCGCCAACACCTCTTTGTGTTCGATCGCCAAATCTAAGTGAAACAAAAAAAATTTGCGATTCAAAGAAAAATAGTGCAATTCAAATTGCCAAAAGAAAATGCAAAAAATGTATCATAGTTACCATTATATTTCTTGTCCAATGCATTCATTTGGGCCTCACAAATACTTTTGCTTTTTGCCAAGCTCATTTCTATCGTTTTTCCTGAGTCTATTTCATGCCTGAGTTCGATAATTTTTTGTTCGGAAGCTCGAATTTGATTAGCCAACTATCAAAAACAAAAACAAAAATTAATTAACGTTAGCCGTGTGAGAGATCGCCGATTAATTTAAACAGTATACATACTTGTTGAACAGAATCGGGATTATTCGATTGTTTTAAATATTGATCGATTTCGGCTTCTAAATTGCAAATAGTTTGCTGTGATATTTTCCATAAATTATAGTATGTCAGTCTCTCCTATGCGATGCAAAAAACGAATGTCTTTTGAATTATTGTCATTCAAAAGTGACGGTTAATTTGTGTGCCATAACGGCCACACAATTATTGGCTAGTCTATATTTAAAAAGCTTACCGTGTCTATATATTGAATTTGTCCTTTTAGATTATTGATGGCATCAGTGGAGGTTTTTTTGTACGTTTGAAAATCAGCATTGGCCTGAATGAATGTTTTATAAGTATCATCATTGCACGGTGCTGCATTAAATTGTGTTATTTCGTCAATTTTCTCCCGCAATTTCTCGTGCTCATTCTAATTTAAGGAAAACATAATTGATTCTTAAAATGATGTGCAATTCGGATTTTATATTCATTTTAACTTACTTTATAGAAATCGAGTTCACTTTGTAGTGATATGATCAGCTCATTGTTTTTACATCCGCTGTAAATGACCAATGTTCAAATTTAATTCGGATACAAATTTTGAAAAATATGGATAATCTTACCACTCAAAAGTCATTGAACAAAATAACAAAAATCAAAAAAAATCGTTGATATGTTGCTAGCACGCTGAACACCCTTTCCCCGCATACAATACAGATAGTAAACAAAACAAATTAAAATGTATGACACTGTACAATGTGTGTGGTTGAAAAGTAACCGTTGCCAATAGCAACTAGTATTGCTAATACAAAACAGTAAGTGGCATACATTATCATTTAACATGTTGTGAATTACAAGTGTTTTTTTTTCTTCTAATAAATAGAAAATATTGATCGTAGTAACAAGGAGTGACATTAGTTATTTTTTTGTATTTGATTGTGAAAATCGTTGATTTTTCAATCAAATAATCACTCTCGAAATGCCAATTTTCTCGAAAAAATTCGATATCAAAAATATTCCGCAACGTGGCAAACGTGATAACAGTTGTGCACAGATTCAAGAGAAATTAGATGATTTCCATACGATTCAATTGAATTTGACGAATAAAAGGAAATTGAAATTTGTGGACGGTACATGGATTGTAACACAGCAACATGGTGACGCTGATGATATAACGGCTATGCGAAAACGATTACAAAAACTGGAAGAGGAGAATAATTTGAATCAGATCAAAGTTGACGTACTTCTCGATATGCTAACCGAAAATTTGGCCGAATTAAAAATTCTTCGTAATAAATGAGAATAAATAAATCAGTGCATGCATTTTTTGGCATTGATATTCATTGTACTGCATAGATAATAAAGCGTTTATTTTTTCGAATAAAATATTACAAAACATTCTAAATCAATTCGTTCATTTTAATTAAATCGATTGAAAATTCATTTTATTTGCATGCTAATGCCCAGTGGGCATTGCCCACAGAATGAGATCATATTTTTTTAAAATTCTTTTTATGATTTGTAAACAACCTTGCCTTATCAATGTAATTGTTCTCGTAGAATTTTAATTGTGCTGATAAGTCAACATTTCATTTTGTTGATCCTAGAAAAAATGTTTTTTTTTTCTTTGCCACAAAAAATATCAACAAACACCATTTAAAATGGTAAGTGGAAATGGTATGCGTGTGTTCATATTCGAAAAAAAGAACATGTGCGTCAGCATCGAAAAATAATTTGCAAGCAACGGCAAAAATAAAACACATCATCATCTTTGTCGTTGTATTTATGGCTTAATTTCAATGTCAACTGTTATCAACAAATTCTGCATTATAATATAAAAATTAGCAGAAAAAAAAACTGTGCATTCAATATTCAAACAAACATCATACTCAATGCCAATAAAATGCATGTTTATGAGTGTGTAAGTTGCAGTTGTTGTGGTTGCTGTTGTCTTCTTTCAGTCACACTGTCGAAATGACAACGTTAGATGGCGTTGGCATGATTATTGTGTACGTAAGTTTGGAATTGCAGAAAAAAAAAAATTAGTTTCGTGTCAAAATACATTCTCTTTTGAGCGATTTTGATTCATTCGTCATTTAAATCGAACATTAGCCAAATCGGATTGAAAGTGGCCAAACAAAGCAGCTGTATCAACGAAAGCAATTGAGCTACGACGAAAAATAAACACATTTTTTTTCTCTCGTTCGACCACATTTACTGCGTTTGACCACAATACGTTTTTTTTTTTTTGAAATTCCTTTTTTGATAAGAATATCTTGCGGGTGAATTTAATTCATTGATGTTACGGAAAACCACTTCATCTGTATAAACAGCTTATAGCACACATACAAATAAGACACAGAAAGAAAGAGAGCGAGCGAGATAGATAGAAAAGAAAAATTGTGGAATAAAACTGCATACATTCAAAATGTAAGTAAGAAAAACAATGAGGCTAAACATTTTATTCGGAATATATCTATTTTATTTGCAATATATCACAATTTTTACGAACCTCAAATGCAATTAGTTTCAAAACATTTTCTAAAGAGTAGGAAGAACGAAAAAAAGTGAAAATAAAAACAGTGTATGGTTGTGTGTTTCGAATTTGACAAACGTGAAATGTTTGTAAATGAAGGACACGAGCAAGTTCGAAACTTCAAGAGGCAAATTGAATGTCTGGAATTGAAAACGTAGTGAATAGTCTTGGTGCTATTCATTTCAAAGAGCTATTAGATTTTTTTTTAGTTCCGGTTTTAACAACTTAAGTGTATATATATTGTAGACTTTATTCAGTAACTCATAACTCATGAAATAAGGTTATGTGATTTTGTGAAAGTCAATCGTCTCTCGATGGTGTAAAAAAGTTTTTTTTTTCTCTAAATTTCCATATGTTTTCACATTTCAGATATTGAATGAGGCATTTCACACACATGATGTAGCTTATCGATGCCAATGAGGCGGTTTCATTTATATGATCCAACAATTAATTGATGGCTCAAGCAAAAATTTATCAAATACCAAAAAAAAAAAATAGCACGAACAGTCGTTGAAATATTTGGTGAACGTGTGTGAAAGACTGATCGTTTCGAATAGATTGCTTTTCAAAAAAACAAAAATAAAATTCCTTCAAAAATGGATCAACGCTTAGGATTGGGCAATGAAGTGCGTGAATTGAAATTAGGCTCAACATTCAATACACCAAAACCGCGTACATCGTTTCACACATTGAAATATGATTTCAAGCCAGCTAGTGTGGACTTATCAAAAACGGCAACATTAGATGTCAGTTCAAATAATCAAGTGACTGTGACGGTGCCACATTTGGATTCATCGGGCGTTCCAAAAACGGTATTCAAAGGCAACCAACGTAATTATACAAAAGAATGTGTGCTGATAATCGATAAGGTGACGGGCGAAATAACATTGGAAAAATTGCATCACAATATTCAAGTGAAGAAAACGCGCAGTGAAACAAATAATAAAGCATCATCGAATTTTTCTTCACATCAATCAAATGCAAACAATGCAAGTGGAAGTGGCGGTGGCGGCGGCGGAGGTGTCAGTGGTGGTGGTAGTGGTGGTATTGGAGCCAGCGCCAGTGGTAGCATAAATAGTGGAAATGCGGCCACAACTAGTGTTGCAATGAACAGTAATGCATCGGATCGTCCTTATCTTCAAAATAATACACAAAGAGTATCGAATAAGACACGAGTATCAACTGGTATACGAAAAAATGCACTCGGTTCGTTTGTTCAACGTCATTCGCCCATTCAAGGATCACCATCATATCCACATCATCGGAGTCCACAACAAGCGCCAGCATGGAATGCAAACAATGGACAATCAACGTTGCCAAGTATTCCAATCATTGGTATGGACGATGATATTATGCCAATGACAAGACCAACCACGAATAATGTAAATAATAGTACAGCAAATGTCGCTGCAGCATCGTCTGCATCAAATCTAGACACACATCAACTTAGTTATCATTCAAATAAACCATCGAAATCATCGCCCAAAATGAATGCGCCTTTAAATAATCCAATATCACAATCGAGCCACAGTGCCAATAACACCAGTTTAAAAAATTCAAGTAGCCTTAAAACAAGTAGTTCATATGATAAAATGCAACAATCACGACAATCAAATAGTAGCCATCATCATCGTAATAATAATCATCATCATCAGCACCATCAAACATCATCGTCATCAATACCAGCATTACCTAAGGATATTTCGAGTGAAATTGGCGTTCTATCCTCATCTGACTCAAGTGATTCATCCGACTCGGATAGCAATAGTAATAGTAACAGCAATAGTAGCGATTCGGATAGCAACAGCAATAGTGACGATGATGATGATGATGACGACGACGACGATGATACCAATATGAATCAACAACATTCAAATGTAATTCGTAAACCACCACAACCAGTCAATAATGGAACGGGCCCATCATTGCCAACGCTGCTTCTTGACGAAGATCTACGTCTATCATCAAACTCTTCCGATTCGGACGATGATTAACTGTTTACAAATTCTACCGATTTTATTTTTGTAACGCATATTTTGTAACTTGTTTTTTTTTTTTTTTTTTTGTTGAGGATTTAAAAAAAGGGAAAAAGAGGAGAAACGAAAGTGCACATAATCCATGCAATTGAAGAATTAATTGAACATTACGAATTTTCTTTGTTTCGTTTTAAATCAATAAGTTCTGTTTTTAAATAATAATAATAATAATAATTGATGATATCAAAAATCAATTTTCATGTCGTTCTCTGTTTTTTTCCTCGTGCCATTCATTTCCAGGTTTTAATCAGGCCTTGTTTCGTTTTCCTTTTTCAGAAACATTTCCATGCATAGCTGGGAATGTCTCCCAAAATAGCATTATACGTAGACAATTTTTTTTTTTTGAATTTTAGACAGATAAGAATTATTGAGAAACTGATCCAATTTCTCGTATCTGAACCGATTTTAAAGTGTCAAAATGTTTAAATGTCAAATCAGACGGACAAAAAAACTTTGTACAGACAGACCATACATAACATCGTTCAATTGATCGAAAACCATTCAATTAAATTGTTGACAATGGGAAATCTGTGGAACAATTGGGGCCCAATAATAGTGATGGTACCAGGGTTGGTTGGCCTTCATTATGGTTGGTATTGTTTACAACAAAATGAAAAATTAGTGCCGAAAGAAGAACAACTTCATGAACAACCCATCGTTACTGTGAGTAGACAGTCGACATTTTTTACCTTTTTTCCCACTCACATTCAAATGAATAATATAAATGTTTTCATTTTCTTTTAAGGCAACCAAATATTTTTATCGCAAATTTAAAAACAAAATCGGAATGAATGATGGTGAAAATGACAAATAGCCGAATTTTACTTCAACCATTTAGAGATTAAATTTAGTTCATTTTGAAAATAAATAAAATTTCAATAAAACATATATTGTAATGCAATGTCAGAATGGTGCATAAAGTCACAATAGTTTTTATTTGCACTTTTCTATCCAGAAATATAATTGCATCGAATGGGCAAAGTCAAAACAATGAAAAACGTGTTTATTTGCAAAAACACACATCACTTGATATGTTTAATTTTCTGAGAGAATATAAAAAACGAACATTTCGTTTCTCTGCATAACATTTCAGTGGTTGCATATGGTTTAGCTAAATCATTTTTGTAAACCCATTGTTCGTCGTAGTTTCAAAACACTACTTTTTGTTGTTTGACAGAAAATAGCCCAGTTGGAACTGTCAAAATATTTTTCTTCAATACACTGGCACACTGTAAATTATATAATAAAAAGGTAAACAGAGTTGGATGTTATTATCAGCGATACACAACTACATCTAAAAAGGTTAAAGTTTGAGTTTGTTCAGAATCAGAGAATAAAAACATTCGAATGACAAAGCGAATCAAATAAAAGCATTACGACTACACGACAATGTAAATCGTCTAAATGAATGTTTTTCTTTGTAAATTAAACGCGAAATAACAATTATAGACATTTGTGAATAAAGAATGTCGATTGAATTGAGTTTTAAGAGCCGTGAAAATTAAGTGTATTTTTTTATCAATGACCGTAAAACAAATCAATATTTACTACGATAATTTAAATAGAATTCCTCGCATCAGCACATGATTTAAACCCGGTGCAGAGTTCAGTGTTTCATTTACGGCACTTCTATCACACAAAACTTAAATTCTATAAATAGATTAGAGACGACGAGACTGTCTTACTATCTTAGTTCAAGGATTTCATTAAAAACACAAGCTCATGTTTTGATTGAATTCAGATTTTATAAATTATTTTATTACGGAATCAAAATCATTTCATTCGTAACACCTTAAGCGTAACGCACATTTACAGAATAGATTTGTTTTTATTTGGAAATTTAAAAGCGATAACTAAATTCAAGATAAGATATTTGAATTACAATAAAACGTCAACTTTTTGTAATTTTTTTTTATCGATTCAATTGTAAACAACTTTTTTATTTGGACATTGTGGCATTCCTTTTATTCCGTTTGTTTTGTTGTTATTGTTGTTTGATTTCAAAGAGTATACATTGATTTGCCAAATTCTTAAATAAGAAATTCAAAGAGTCAGTCATGTTGAGGGAAAATACAACGATTACGAATCGTCAACTGTCAACCAATCATGACAACAAAAGTACGTATTTGATTGAATGCAAAGGACACATTCCGAATGTTGATAAATAATTGAATTTACAGATTTAGCGCAAACAAACGTGAACACGGTTGTGATAAATCTATTTTGTGGAGCGCTAGCTGGTGGTACTGGAAAAACTGTGATAGCCCCATTGGATCGTGCCAAAATCAATTTTCAAATTCAGTAAGTAAATGTGACGTGACGGTTGTAAATAAATTTAAAAAAAAAATTGTGTATTTTCTACATTACAGCAAAGATATTCCCTATTCCTTTCGTGCAGCCACTTTATTCCTTCGGAACACTTTACAAAATGAGGGCTTTTTTGCATTATGGAGAGGAAACTCCGCAACGATGGCACGTATTATACCCTACGCAGCCATACAATTCACATCTCACGAACAATGGAAAAAAGTGTTGTCTGTAGATAAAGATCAAAGGTAAATATTATCAATAACAAGTAAACAACTGTCATATGTATCGGGAAATATTTTCAGATGGGTCTATCCGCTTAGATAAGTACATGCGATGAGTCTGATAACTTTTGGGACACTTCGATACTTTTTTGGTATTTATTGAGTGTAGATATAAAGTCCCATCAAATCGAAAGAATTTTCTCTCATCACTAGTAATTTTAACCCCTCGAACCTTTGATCAGAATCTATGATTTGAAGGTACAATCTCTGTCATCAAAGAATATCACAGAATTGAAAGGTCCCAAAATTTATCTGACACATTGCATGGGCACAACTACACTTTACGACATCCTCTTTAAATCGATTTTTTTGAGAAATTTCATTTTTTTAAGCTATGAAAATGATGGGGAAGATGAATTGGGATTGGGGAAAGCTGATTTAACGATCAAAAATATTACAACTGTTCGGGGTATGAGGGCAGCTACCCGAATAAATTATCTTGTCATTCTGAACAACTTTGCCATACATCACTTTTTGATCCAATGAAGTTTTGGACAAGTTGGGTACTCCCCCCACTAATACCCAAGGGGGCAACCCCCTTTTCACTAAATTATTTTCCCACTCCTAATTTATCGTTCCCTATCATTTTTTGAACTTGAAAATTTAAAATCTATAAAAAAAAATCGATTCAAAGAGCATGTCGTAAAGTGTAGTTAAGCCCATTGCATGGATTCATTTAATCGGGAAAAATCTATCTGTCGATATTCCCTCACATCTTTTGATGTAGAAACAATTGTGACAATTATTTTTACATGAATTTTATATGCCACCTAGCGTATTTAGGCAAGCATAGAAATATGCGCGAACCGGTCACTGGAATTTTCTTGTAAATTTTCCACTTTTGTTAAACATTCGTTTTATTATTCAAAAAAACTAAACATAAAAATGTTTGTTATTTGATTGCAGTACAAGTGGCCGGAGGTTTTTGGCAGGTTCATTAGCCGGAATAACATCACAATCTTGTACATACCCATTAGATTTAGCTAGGGCACGAATGGCAGTTACCGACAAATACACTGGCTACAAGTAAATTTTCCATAATAATCATGCATATCGAATTTGTTTTGAAATTTTGTTGGAATTCAATACGTTCAGGTCGCTGAGACAAGTATTCGTAAAAATTTGGATTGACGAAGGGCCAAGAACTTTATTTCGCGGTTACGGGGCAACAATTTTGGGTGTAATTCCATATGCTGGGACATCATTTTTTACATTTGAAACTTTAAAGCGTAAACATCATGGTAAAAAAAAAATTTGTTAAAAATTATATTTGGAATTGTTTGTGTATCAAATAATTATTGAAATGTGAATTACAGACTTGACCGGAGAGAAACCGCAGCCAATTAACTCGTTTGTTTATGGATCGATGGCCGGTGTTATAGGTCAAACGACTAGTTACCCATTAGATATAGTACGAAGACGAATGCAAACGGTTGGCATGATAAAACAACCACCGCATAAAACCATTCATTATCAAACCATTTGGTCAAGCATTAAAATTATTTACAAGTAAGTTGAACATATTTCTGGTAATTCACGAGAAAAAAAAAATGTTTTTCAACATTTTGTATTTTTTTGTCTGCAGAAATGAAGGCATTAGGAAGGGATTTTTCAAAGGATTAAGTATGAATTGGGTGAAAGGTCCAATAGCGGTTGGCATTAGTTTCACCACATTTGAATATACCAAAGATTTTCTAACTGTTTACATGTCGGTTCGAAGCCAATAAAATGACGATGCATGATAATCAGTGCCTAATATTAGAATAATACCATGCGTTGGAGGGAATAGATCGAGTCAATACCCAATAGTTGTTGTTTTTTTAATTCTCTTTGTAAAAGCATTCATTCATGCTGATGTGTCAATAATTGTATATTTCTATCGCAATGCAAAATTGACTTTTTTAGAAGAAATATTTTAATTTTTTTTTTACTTCTTTATAGACTTTTGTCTGAATTGAAAAAAATAAATTTGTTAATTTTATGGAACTAACTGAAGACAATATTACTCGACACACTTTAGTGTAATTAAGAGCTTTGTTGTAGGTGCTGCTTATTCTTTAGCATAATTGTAAAAAGAAAAATTTCCATACAAAACGAATTGAAAAACGAAAAAAATATGAATAATATGCATATTTAAATAAATATAAAACTTTGCAAAAAATTCGATGCCAGAAATGTGTACAAAACAAATGATTTTTTCTCATAATGTTGTATGACAAGTGAGCGCTAAATTTGAATAGTAAAGAGAAACAAACACTTTTAACTGCAAACACATGCATTAGTCTAGATGAATGCGGCACTGAGCGCTACGCTTTCGAAAGAGACAAATAGATGAGAATGTATTCAAGGCCAAATGGTAATGTAATGGTATGAAGCTTACAGCTGTCAAACATACAAACGTGTGTATCGAACAATAGCAGCATGTGAGTGTGTAAATGTCAAAAACTGGCTGCGTACATTAATGGAAACGCAGCGAAACAGAGACCGACGCACTGTAAGCAGGAAAGGTATAGATAAAAAAAAGCGGATCACATTTCAATCCGTTGTCGGTTCAGCGCGAGTCAAGTTGAACAAAATTTTTTATTCCATCAGTGTGATCGAATGAGGTAAACAGAAGAAGACAGAGCGACAAGTGCGCGTCGACTTCTCGGTACATATGAATTTGTAAATGGCTGACGCTATTCTGAGAAATTGTGATTAGATAGTGTGTGATAAACTAAAAGTGCTTAAAATAAATCAAGAATTTTAAACAAATTCGATACAAAAAAATACCGCCATAAATATTTAGAAAAAAATATTGTTGAAAATCGTTTTCAAACCGTATTGTGTTAACAACGAAGTAAGTTCAACCAACAATTTGTTTTTTTTTTTTTAAATAGCATACCTATTTATTCACGAATTTCCGACAAGTCGCAAAAAAGAGAATCTTTTCGCAACTTTGTTTTTCTGAGAGTTTTGTAATGGTATTGGTGTGGTGTATGCATGTGTGTGTGTGTGTGTGTGTTTGTGTGTGGTCATTATGTGTACATGTGAATTTTTAAAATGTGTATCAATCTGTTTTTTTTATTTTTATTTTTTTAAGAGACCAGAACAGAACAAATACTTACAACACACATAGCGCTAAAACATGCATATGTCAAGATATTCTTTTAAATTTATTCATCATGACATTTTTTTTTCTTGCTGTTGTTTTCTCTTGCTTGTTTGCAATTCTGTTGTGAGAGAGTGTTGTTTTTGTTGTTGTTCTGTTGCAAATAGAAAATTCTTTTCGCGTAGAGAAATCCAAGCGGCGACATTTAACCGCGATAAATAAATTGTAAAAATATCCATGCAAAGGAAGAAAAGGGAGAAAAATGAAGAGAGACGAGAAATGTATGGTCTGAATAAAAAAAGAAAGAATTGCCGCCGATAAAGTTCCGACGACAGGAGAATGACAGAGAAAAAACGACGAAATTGAAAGCGAAAAATTCACTTTTTTCTACACTCATTTCGCGTCCATTTCGCTACTGAACAGAAGCACAACCAAATGAAACAACAACAATTTGCAATAAAATAATCTCAAAACAACTCGTTCGCAATTTTTTTTTATGCGTCATTCGCTATTCTTTATATTCTTGCGAAGTAAATGCATGTGTGTGCGCCTTTTTTCCTTCTTGTTCTTTCATTTCAATCATATTCTCCGTGTTTCAACTTTTTCATTCACTCAACATTCTGTGTTGATGTACGCTTATACACACAGGAGAATAATTAACCAGAATTAATTACATGAAACAAAAAGTGCTTGCCATTTAGAAAATATACAAAATGAGAGAAGAAAAAAAAAAGAACAACAGCATTATCGGTGGCTTATGAAAGCATATGCACGATCGGTATTGTATGTTATGTATTATTATTTCCGTTCCAATCAATTTTGCTTGAAAAGGGATATTTACGGGTGCAGAAAAATACCGTCATTATGAATTTTTTAGTCGCCAACACACAGGCACAGAGCTTGAGACATCGACATTCGTTTCATGCATTTGTTAAAATGTGATAGCAATGGGCAATGGGCTTCCTTGGCTTTAAACTTGGATGAATGTGGAATTACTTGTGTAAACTGATACATGCTAGGTGCATATACATATATATTTTTCTGTTGTTCATAATTGCGATTGAAAAAGGATTTTGTGTGGGACGTTGATTTCTTGTTTTGTTGTTGCACAAATTATGTTGTTGTTGTTTTGGTTGTGTTGGTGTTGCGTTTTGTTGATACTTATTGCATTCATTAGTGCTAACGGAGCCAATATTATTCGTGCGCTATTGTGTTGTGCTATCGATAAATTCAAGTAATATTCATTCACTATATAAAATAAATTAATGCGTAACACATAAAAGTTCAATATAGTCCATGTAATACAAACGGTCTGTATACTGAAATACACGTAATTTATATTACTTCTTATTGATAGACGGAGATGATATTTCCATATAAAGGTTTTTCCCCGAAAAAGGGTTCGAAAGCTTCATTTAAAATTTATAATTCAATACACCAGTGTTCGTTGCCGCAAAAGCCAATTCAAGAAATTCATAATAAATTGAATATTCAAGTTTGAATTAGACGCACCGTGCGGTGCGCATATAAATTTATAAAATTTACCCAAAACATTCATGAGAGTTAATTTATCTTCGAAGGAAAATGAAGTTCTGAAAATGAGATTTTTCGAGATGCAACCTTCGTTAGATTGAATCTAATGAATGTGTAAATGATATATTATGTACTTTGTATATGGGTGTTACATCAGTATAGCTATCGCTCACATGATAGGTTAACACATATAAAATAGAAAACCATCAAAAGTGTCACCGTTTCCATGTCCATATCTTCCATTTTATTTTATATAGTACGTCAACTTCATCATTATATTTATGGTTGATTGTCACCATCGCAACGTCATATGATCAGACAAAAGAACACTTGAGTTTCTTAATTTTCGACGTAATATACTTGTAACAGGCATCATAATCATAACAATGTTCATAGAACATAGACTCAGAAATGGACATGAATTCGTGATGATGGACATACACTCTCGGAAAAACTAAAACATTTTTACCTTGTTAATCGGTTGTCATCATGTTGGACATATATTTATATTTGTTCATGCCTTAAATCAAATAAAATTAAGAAGCAATGTGGACAACAAACGTCTATATATTTACATTACGACGGCAACAAGTCTGAGTATAGAAACAGAAACCGAGTACATAAAATAGAACGTATGTGTGTTGTAAGGCAGAGTACCTGTGCTCATATTATGGTAATAAAACTAATCGTACATTAAGCGCTTACAACGCGTTCGAATAGAGTGACAGAGATCATCTATCAGTGAGCAAACGACCAAAACGAGTGGCACCTGAAATTATTATATGGACAAAGATGCTCTCAACGAGACACACATAGCAAAACATAGATGAAGAGACAACGATAACGAACGGTTGAAATAATAATAAAATTAAACTGAAAACACACATTAAACTTCACACCAAGCCATAAGCCATACCATCATTTCTCTATATGTGCGTGCATGTTCTATATGATTTTTATTCTCCTGCACTGTATTTACTTTTCTACCTGAGTTTTTCTTCGATTTCTCTCTCTTTCTTTTTCTCATTCTCATTCTCCTTCGATTTTTTTTTTTCGTTAGGCACACATTAAAAACGAACATTCATAAAGTATACTTTGTATCCATGCAACATTTATGTTTGGCTACATACGCTGTGGATTTGGTGCATATGTAGTCTCTAAGACAAGTATCTCTCATAAATGCATGTCACCAAATTATCCACCAACCATATTTATTTTCAATTCTTGACAATGGCAGAAAATGCATACCATTCACTTTTTGAAACATTAGGGTTTTTTTTTGTATTCGACCGTCTTTATTATGTCGTTTAACTTTTTCGGTGAAAATAAATATTTTGGAGAGAAAGAGCAAAAAAAGAGAAACAATAAAAACATAACATTTAAAGGGAAAAAAAATAACATTCAAAACAAAAGTACAAAAAAGGATGATCGAAGAAGACAAAAAAAAACTGTGTTTGTCTGTATGGAGAGAAAAAGCGTGTAATAAAATAGGTAACATCTAAATGCATGAGGATAATTTTCTGTTGTCAATAAAGTATAACCTAATGCAGTGCATAAGTCGAGCATGCAAGACTGAGTTGTATATGTTTGTGTCTAATTTTTTTTTCGCTCTTTCGAATAAATGTTATATGTTTTATGCATAAATAATAAATGTTTGTATTGTTCCAAGTTTCCAAGCAATAAAAGAAATATGAAATGTGAACTATGCGTTAAAATGTCGCTTATTTTGATGGCCGATGATGGCATCTGCAATTCTCCTCACCATTCCGAGACTCCTTACTCGTTTTTTGAGCCATATTTAATACAAACAAGCAAAGCACGCGTGCACAATGGGTTTTATTGAGAAAATTGCCCGAATGATTACCGACAGAGACAAAACGAGAAAAAAGAACAGAGAGAAAAACATTGCCAACAATCGAATGGAACATTCATTGCAACAACAACAACACCGAATGTGTGTATGTTTATATATACAATAAAATTCCTGTGAAATGTTTTTCTCTGATATTTTCTGTGTGAGCTATGTTCGCTCGATCTGTTTATTATTCGTTGTTCTTTTTTTTTTGTTCGTTCATTTTCTTCCTTTTCCATTTGTTGCATATATTTTAGAATTCGAATAAATAATCAAACACGAGCAAATTGATATTCAAATAAAATATTGTGTTGTTGATATACACGTACCGCTATTCGTTTATTTATATTCAGTGACTTCTAGCCGCTCAACAACCACGGGAAGAGCGCGCGAAAAAGAGAAGAGATATTGGCGAAAGATGTGGCGACGATGTTGTGAAACATTTGTGTCAGAGTTCGATACTTCAGTGCGGCGCAATGACGTCGATGATTGTATGAGCGTACCTCATTTTGGATTCATTTCATGAATTTAAACAAGACTATAAAATATCGGTAGCAAAAGTAATTTTTATCATTTGTGCTCTCATATCTTACGCGGCACATTTCACAATGAATTGGCTGTAACAAGGATTGAACTTGTTTTTAAGAAACGTACATTTTTTTTATTGAAATAGAAACAAAATAAGGATTTGAATGAATTTGATTTTTTTCTGTGGTTCATAATATCGCACGCATTTGCTAGTGACTCAAAGCATAGAATTATTGTTGTTGATAAATGTGGATTTAAACAAAGTATTGATTGTACTCGGACTATTGACATTTTTAACGTCAACACATTTGCTTGTCGAAATTGAAAAACTACTTCGCGGTTCATGTATTAACCATAACAGTGTTTGTATGTAATCTGAAATTCGAAGAAACGATTGAACAAAAGAAGAAACAGACACACCGATATAATAAAACGCACATTTGAAATCTAAGCAAAATACGGACCATAATAAAGTTAGTAAGTGAGTATTAAAAGTGATTCACACGTGTGCACATTCGATCGTTTAAAACATTCAATAAGCCGTATAGTAAACGGAAACGTATTCACATATCATTTGGATCTCTATTCTCTTCTTCTTCTGTTTAAATAATTTTGCTTGTTGGTTAATCATTCGACGTCTTTACTCCACTATCATTTGTTGCACCAATTTAACGCGATTCGATCAAATTATATATTCTCGACGGTAAGAAGTTCTCGGGAAAATTTCCAATCAACTGGCTTGATTTCCATCGTGGGCGAGAACGTAAGAGGTAGAAGAGAGGAGAGAGAGAGAGAGAAAGAGAGAGCGGGAGAAGAAAGAAAGAGTGAAAAGGAAGTTCCATCAAAGATGAATACTCGAAATTGATAATAATTTTTTAATTAAAACAATCGTGATGAAAACGATAATTTATACTTTACCGTGTTATTAATACACCCAAAGCAAACTAATTAAATGGAATTGATGTTGATTAAGCTATTGTTTGGCTAATTATTTAGACAAGAAGTGAAGGGACAGACAGAGAAACGACTACAGACAGAAATATTGGAATTGAATACAAAGAACGAATACGGCAAAATGAAAAAAAGTATAATGATTTAGAACTGTGTACTCTTTTTTTTTAAATTCTCTTTTCCTATGTGTATGTTTTGTTTTTCATTCGGTTTGCGATGTGTTAAGAGGGAGTATATGCACTTTACATACACTTGATGTCTTACACATGGTGGTGTGGTAATTTTTTTTTGCGAATCTTCAGATCATAGAATAGTGCATGGCTCATTGTCAGCTGGGCCTGAGTAGCCTGTGAGGAAAACGCTTCAAACTATTTCCTTCTCTCAATTTTACTTTGTTCATATTTCTCTGACATTTTCCATGGATTTCTGAAAATCATCTTTTTTTCTTCCTCTGTCCCTCTCTCTCTCTCTCTCTCTCTCTCTCTCTTTCTCTCTCTCTCTGTGTGTGTCTAGCCCAGTTCGGTTTTTTTCTCTACTGTTGTTTATTATTATTTTCTCTCTTCTACATTGTTCATGCTGTGCTAGCATTCTTTTTTCCTTCATATCTTCAATTCTGTTCAATTCAATTCCTTAAAATAGAAGACGTGTAGACGTAATAAAATTTAATATTCAAGTATTTTGTCTTTAATGATTTTGTTCTGTGTGTTGCTGAACGAAGTTCATTTTTATTATTTCTCTTTTCCTACTGATTCAAATTCTTTTTATTTTTCACTTCTTGCACCGACTCTCTTTTTCAACGCTCAACGTGGTTTTTTTCTCAAATGTTTTCACAGAGATTGCATTTAATACTCTGTTATTAGACATTTTATATACACATGCATCACACTTACTGCCAACGTTAGTTGAATTATAGAATATTTGTTATTTGTTTTAAGATATTTTGTTATTTTTATCTTCTTCTTTTCCTTATTTTGATACTTTAATCGGTAACATCGTTGGCAGCTATAGTTACCGCTTTACTCCATTCTTGTATCTTTTTTATATTACTTTTATTTATTCTATTTTATCCTGATTTTCTTTTCCACCGAATTTTTTAAATATGCACGTTTTTGTTACTGTTACAACCCACCACACACATACAAAGTACAAACACAAAATTCAGTGGAAACAGTCATCTCGTTGAAATACAAAAACATTTAGTTTTGAATCTCGTTAGGGTGATTGGATAATTGAATGCAAAGCATATCCTGAAGTGGTTTACAAAAGAAAAACATTTGGTTTGAAACATCACCGTACAATTAAAAAAAAAATACAATTGTAATACTTTTAAGTACAAACTTTTTTTATTGATAAATAATAATTAAAGTCAATCTCTTATATTAATTTACTTTGCGGATATAATTGAAATTTCTGCAAGTTTTTTTATACCGAGAATCCTATTTGCATTAATTGATTTGTATATAATTGTCATCATATTATTCTTTTCCATCCTTCCCTCTTATAGATTATATTTGTATTGTTTCCCGTTTCTGTTGTTGATGGAATAACATCATGTCTTTGTGGGAGCGAGTATCTGGCCAAGCGGGTTTTGAAAGAATCAAGTCGTTGTATAACGAAAATTTTCCATTGGAAGTGCGTATTTTGTGCGCTGCATGGATTGAAGAACGAATCAAATCGGAACAATACATTGATATAAATGATCCGCAATATGAACAGCGTGCGGCAAATTTTATATCAAATTTGATACAACAATTGGATTTGGAAAAGCAACGTCTTAAAAAGCCCGAAGAATTGTCAATTAAATATCGGATCGAAGATGCAATGCGAACATTTACACAAAATATCTATAGTCCGGGTCAATTATACAAACAAATTCGTGACGCATTAATGTATGAACAGCATATTTTGGATTCGTGCGCCAATAATCCTCAATTAAATTATGTGGACAACGAGGTGCTCGAAATAAATGAAAAAATTAAAAATTTACGCAACCTCATCATGCACAATAACGACGCGGGTAATCGATATAAACATGAATTGGAACAGTGCATGTTGCGTTACAGCGAAAGTTCAAAACGCATTCAAGAAATGCGTAGCATGCCAAAAACGGCAGAAAATGAAGATCAGTGTGTTGCATTTATGGAAGAATGTAAACGACAAGTTTGCCTAATGTCAGACAATATAAATCAACGACGTATTGAAATATATTCACAAATTCGAGCTGTCATCGATCTATTGGACGAAGTACAAAAGATTGTCATCCATAAACGGTTGGGCAAATGGCAACGTGATCAGGCATTAGCTGGTAATGGTGCACCATTGCCATTGAGTGCGCTCGACGAAATCCAAAATTGGTTCGAAGATTTGGCCGAACTCATTTGGAATACACGCACATTGATAGATACCATGCGCAAGTCGAATATGCCAATTAGTCCGGCAAATTTTGACGGTTTTGAGGTAGCCTATCGTGAAATCACCAATCTCCTTCAGAATCTGATTGTATCAGGTTTCATTGTGGAAAAACAACCGCCACAAGTTATGAAAACCAACACAAGGTAAATAAAATTTAATGGCAAAACATAAAATAAACACTCAATTCTGGTTGACATATAATTTAATGATATATATATATATATTTTAAATATTTATAGATTCGCTGCGACTGTACGTCTACTGTTAGCTAACGTTAGCATTCACCTAAATAATCCATTTGTGACCGTGTCCATTTTGTCAGGTAAATTAACAAATAATTCATAATAATTTGTATCGAACTTTAATTGATATCGTTTATCGTATGCATGACATGCACAGAGGCACAAGCTCAAGCGCAACAGCAAAATCATTCGTCGCCATTGGCTGAAGCGTCTGGTGAAATTTTGAATAATACCGGAAATTTAGAACTGCAACAGGCTACACGACATTTGACGTGCAACTTAAGGAATATGCAGCTTAAGAAGATCAAACGGGCCGAGAAAAAGGGAACCGAAAGTGTAATGGACGAGAAATTTGCTTTGCTATTTCAATCGAAATTCCAAACCGGTGACATGCAATTGAATGTAATTTTACACTTTCATCAAGACGATTACACATTAAAAACACAAAAAAAAATCATTTCAATTAAAAAATAAAACTTATTATTTGATATAGGTTTGGGTGATGTCATTACCCGTCGTAGTTATCGTCCATGGAAACCAAGAGCCACAATCTTGGGCTACCATCACATGGGACAATGCATTCTCTGAAGTTAGTCGCATTCCATTCAATGTAACTCCTGGAGTGTCATGGTCGAGAATGGCATCAGCTCTAAACATGAAATTCTACTCTCAAACTGGTCGTAGTTTGACAAACGACAATCTTTACTATTTGTGTAATTATCAATTTTCGCTAAAAAAAATTCTCACATTTCTTTTTGAAATAAAAAATAAATTTGAAAAACAAAAATTGGCCATTCCAGGTGAGAAAGCGTACAGAGCATCTATAAATTTTAATCCCGAAGAACGTCCAATCACATGGTCTCAATTTTGTAAAGAAGCATTGCCCGATCGAACATTCACATTTTGGGATTGGTTTTATGCCGTCATGAAATTGACACGTGATCAATTGCGAGGTCCATGGACTGAAGGTCTCATTATCGGTTTCATAAATAAGCGTCAGGCTGAAGAAATGCTTCTCAAGTGCCCACCCGGTACATTTTTATTACGATTCTCGGACAGTGAACTCGGTAATTACCATCATACAAAACCAATATACAAAATTACCGATCGATAAACCGAATGTAATTAAATGAATGTAAAATTTTAGGAGGTATAACAATTGCTTGGGTTGAACACACCGTTGATCAATTACCGCAAATTGTAATGCTGCAACCATTTTGCCACAAAGATTTTGCCATTCGTTCACTTGGTGATCGTATCAAAGATCTGAATCAATGCGTCTATCTCTATCCAGATATTCCGAAGGACAAAGCTTTCGGCAACTACTATACACCATTGGGTGGTAAGATAACACTTTAACTCTTCTTCTTTTTTGTTTGTTCGAAAAGAATGATAAAATATATCATATTGAATAATTTAAATAGTTGAATCATCGACAAATGGATATGTAAAGCCAATACTTAAAACAACCGTGCCAGAAGAATGTAAACCATGTAGTTATCCAAATACTCCACAACATAATTGGCAGTCACCAGACGACAGTCATACGCGTGACACAGCATCAGTGACAAGGTAATTATCTAAACTCGTATATCACGTGCGACAATGAATCGTGCCTAATACGGTTTATTGTTTCATTTCATTTTTTATTCGATTTGATCATTCCATTCGAAATTAATTCGCGTTTATTTCTTTTGTTGCAATTGACGGCTGTGCGCTTGACTCGTAGAATGCACTAGACAAAAAATAATCATAATAATAATTCGTGTTAAAAACGCATACACAAACACACACTCTTCATTATCATTCACAAATAAATCACATCAAACAAAACGCATAGCAAATGGAAGAAAATCGTACGCAAAAAAAAAAAAAAAAAAAAAAAAAAAAATTTTCAACTCGATGCTTTATTCAATTCTTTTTTGTAAAAATTGGTATTATTTCAACATTTTCGAGCACTTTAGTTTCTCGGTAATGTAGCAAACACGCAGATATTATTTTAATGATTAATTGGAAGAAAACAAATGCAAAAAATAGAAAAAACAATACGATCAGTTCGACCTTTCAATCGAATGCAGTCAACAATTTAACGTTTAAATTTAACCTTTGAAAAGTTATCTACTGAGTCAAACGTTTTTGCACCACGAACGACAAAAACAATTCATATAATTGTGGACCAAAATAAGTTATATATATGTATTATTGTTATTTTTTTCTTCTTCTTCTCTTTTGCGACAACACGTTCCAGCTACCAGAATAGTACAATAATGCATCTTTAATTATTTCTCTTTATCAATTTAAATATGTGAAGAAACAAAGAAAGATCAAAATACACACAAATTCATCGAAAGAATGCATTTTTAAATTGTATGGTTTTTACTGTTCAGAAGAGAGAAAAAAAAACAATGAAAATCATAGCAAAAATCGAACAGTTAAACGATAAATATATTGCCAAATGAATAAATTGTCAATTGAAAAGAATTCACTTTCTCCAGTTCAACGAAATAACATTTAGTCGATATTATACAAATAATAAAAATTGTTAAATGTTGCTTGATTATTATATAGTAATAAAAAAAATGTGGAGCCCAATGACCTAAACAATTACCATATTAACATGTTCTCCACTCTCATCGTGAAATCTAAAAAAAGCAGCAACGAAAACCGAAAGAGTAATTATGCATGCAGAATCATTTTATTGACAATGAAATTATAAATTATTTATGTGGTTGTTTTTTATTTGTGATATATTGTCGAATTGATGTGTGTTGATTTGAACTTTGCATGTTTTCTTTTTGATTGGTCGTACTGGTGTTGATTTTGAGTCATCGCTGACCTCGCGATGATCTCATTTATATTACGCCCAAAAAAAAAAAAAAATGTAAGAAGAAGTCATTGATTTATTGCACAAAACTTCTGACATTAACCACATCACTGGTTTCATCACACAACGATAGCAATGGCTTGGCTGTTCTCTACCATTTTGTAGTTTGCGAATTTCGTTTTTTTTTTTGTTGAATTCCTCCCCCTCATTTTTCGTCTGTTAAATATGAACCGATAACACATGTGATTTGTTGTCGATCGATGTGTATCACTTTTGTGTTATATTCATGTTTACAGTATATTGTTGGGGTCGTTAATTGATAAACAGCCATTTACAAGAAAAAGAACTATATATAGATAAAATTAAATAGATAGCAAGGGGCGGAGCAGTACTAGATTCAATTCTATCAATTCCATTCAATTCCACTAAATTCTTTTCAATTCCAAATTAAATTCTAGTCCGTGTGTTTTTACTCATTTACTTCAGCAAATTTTAGGTATTACAAGGAGAGTTTCATATAGCAGCAAAATGACACTTGCGTGTATTATTCGCCAAGTGTGATTTGGATGATAAAGAATGTGATTTTTTTTATTCTGATTGAACCAGGCGATACAAAAAATTGATCAAAATTTGAGAATTGAAGAAAAAAAACTATTTATTTTGTTGTTAATTTTTTCGAAAGATCTCCTTGTAATACCTAAAATTGGCTGAAGTAAATGAGTTAAAATACACACGGACTAGAATTTAATTTGGAATTGAACAGAATTGAGTGGAATTGAATGGAATTGAAAGAATTGAATCTAGTACTGCTTCGCCCCTTGATAGATAGATATATGATATACATGCACCCAATTTAATGTGATTACAAATATTTCGGCTGTTTGAGCTGAAAATGTTAGCGAATAATATTATCGCTAAAATGTCATTTTCATTGCAAAACTTTTAGCAAAATAATGCAGCTTTATTTTTATCGTTACTGTACATATATGCTAAAAACATCGTAAATTTGTACATTTCAAGAGCTTCTTTATAAGCACAAGTTTGAAAGTATAATTTGAAATAAATAGGTGGATTATGGGTGAAAGAATGGAATCATTTCTTAATTCTAATGTGACTGGCCATTCACAGCCTAGTTTTAGAGCTAGTTTTTCTAGTTTCTTCTAGTACTTCTATTGGCTTCCATGCTTGATTCCTCTCTGACTCGAATTCATTTTACAGTCAATGAAGACAAATTGTTAGAATAAAAGAAGAAAAAAACAACAACGACATTTTCAGAAAAACATACCCATTAAAATTGTAAGGAAATGTCCCAGGAACATTTGATTTATGTAGGTTTCGAGAGCTCAACAATTTGATGTAATACAGACAGATAAGAAAATAATGTGAGTTAAGAGAGAATAGATAGAGAGAGAAAGCTTTCTAGAGATATACACACGTGCTTCGAAATTGAAATAATTCAATTAAATGCATTGTGACCACGAAAATGAGATAAATTGATACGTATTTCGTATGTCCGTAGATCACATAATCGGATGTTCAATTTTTTAAGTGATGTACATTTTCAGTTTAAATTGAAACTAATTGAACTGACTATAACGAGAAAATAAACTATCGATGGGAGATGCAATTGGAAGCGGCTATATATAATTCTGACAATGCAAATTGTCGACTACATGTATACATGTCTCTTTTGAATTTAATTTTTTTTTTTTTCAAAAAAAGTGGCTTTAAATTTAACGAGCGATTCGATTCAATTAGACTCAATTGTTTCATTTCAAATATACTATTTGATATTTGATATACCTGCTGGGTACCAAAATGATCAACGTACATGCGTTGATTTTGCATCGATGTTGTGATTACGACGAATTTAATAAATTTATAACTAAAAAAAGTTCACATTCTATCTCTATTTGATAGTCAAATATTTATGTGGTTAAATGTTAAAGCAAAATTTAAATTAATAATACTAATCAGAGACCAATTTTAAATTATCCCTTCAAAATGAATGTTCAAAAATGAATGTGAACACTTAAAACACTTACACTTTATTGTGATGCGATATTTTCTCAATGTACAGATATGTTTCATTTCGATAAAAATTGGATTTTTGAAAATTCCTAGTATTTACGAATGCACGGATAATCAATGGATGGCAAAAAACCAAAAACATATTTATATCTATATCAATGTGATGTAAAGTGATGTGATGTAATGTAAATTTAATGTGACTTGATAAAATAAACTTGTTTTTGACATTTGAATACTATAAATATTGGATGTTATTTAAGGGACACTAAATTGTTATTCAATTTAATGGAAATCTCTTGATATCCAGAAAAATATTGCATTTCGTAATCAGAATGCTAATAATTAAATGCATCGTGATCGATTTGCTTTTATATAATGTTACAAAGTTGTTTCAGCGGTCGTTCTAATAACGCATTTGAATAAAAAAAAGTACTCTTTAAAGTGAAGAAAAAAAAAAAATAGAATCAGTGAAATTAATTCGATAATTTGCACTTTTCAATTTAGCTAGATATGAAATTCTATTGGAAATTTAAAAAAAAAAATCAATGACATTGTGTGAAAGAAAAACGTGTGAGGGAATATTTGATAGTCGGCAATTTATATAAAGATGAATGGCCGACTATAAGCAATTTACATATTTTACAAGCTATACTAGTTAAACGAAAGTTGAAAAGTTGGGTAATCTGGTTTTGAAGAGATAACTCTTGCCAGTTGAACGGAAATTCGGCTAAAATTATTTAAATATCATTTTTGTTCGCTTGGTATTTCTATTTTAAATAAGCGTGTTATCTTTGCACGTATGCAGCACTTCATATACGCATACTCACCATAAATCAAGCCAATTTATTTATACATCATTCCACACAAGCTTTACATTTTATTCAAATCAAGTTGATTTCATTTATTTATTTCTTTATTTCGCCAATCAAATTCTTCACTATCAGTGCATTATTATGGCATCATTTTTTCCTCTGTATATCATTTTTTTATATATATATATATATTAGATATTATTTAAGTTTGAAATGATTTATTTTTTTTTTTTTTTTTAATTATTTTTTTTTCTTTCCAATATTTTTATTTCTCTTTTTTACGAAAAAAAAAAACAACAACAACAACAAAAATTAGTTTCCAACCCCATGAACCAGATAGTTTCAACACGAACGAAGAATATTATATGGAAGAAGGTCTAGTAGATGACCTCAATGACCTCAATGCTCTATCGGACTATGTCAACTGAAAAACGCAAACCATTAGAGCATACAACACATTACTGAAATATTGAACGAAACGAAAAAAAAAAACAGAATAACACATACAATAAGCAAAATTGTCATCATTTTCAATAGAAAAGATCACAGAAAAACAATTTAAAAAGAAAGAATACACATAACACCATGAAGAAATTCATACATATGAGGGACAAACCGATATACAAATAAAAGCGAATACAAAACCGAAAGAATTTTGTACATGGATAGAATTGATAAGTACATAAAATCGAAGTGAAAAGAAGATAAAGAAAATATAAAAAAATTGAATTCTTCATATTATAATTTTTAGTTGATATGATTATATATATTTTTTTACGTTGCTCTCACTTACAACTATTTGTCTAATTTGTAAGGAATTGAGTTTTTTTTTGAAAAATAAACCAAACCTTCTTCTATATTACAAATGATGCAAAAACAAAACAATCAAACATAAAACCAATAGCGTGCAATAGTATTAAGTATCCCTGTTGATGGGAATGAAGTGGTCAAGGTATACTCTTTCACTGTTCTCATCAGTACACGCAATATATGTATAATTTTTTTTAAAGTGAAACAAAAATCTATTTGTTGTAACTATTTCTTTTTATTTGAATGTACTTAATTTTTTATGTACGTATAAAAAGAAAACAGCACAAATGAAAACCAAAACTTCAAGTATTTCTTAGATCAGATTTGCACAATTTTATTAAAAAAAAAACATCAACTAATTAGGAAAATTGGGATAAAATAAAATAGATATGGATTTGATGCCTTAATTGAAATCGAGACTAAATTTCACACAACGACAGTCGATTTAAAAGTGCTAACTGGTAAATATGTATTTCTCGCATGTTTTTTTTTTAAATGATGTTACAAATAAAAGTAGAAGAAATTGAAGAAGACTTTTTTTATTTTTGAATCAGATAAGGCATGATATTTTTTTAATTTCCAGATTTTAAAAAATCTTTTCATTTTAATTTCGTCTGTTTTTTTTTATTATGAGCTCAATGACTATTATAGCCTGGACGATGAG